GTACGCGCGAGAGAGAGAGGGAGAGCAAGCGAGCTCAACCTCTTGGCCTGGGGTTGACTTCTGGACCCATGTCGTCCAGCATGCAGTGCTCCCCACAGATCCAAAAATTTTGCCTCGGGAGAAATTGCAGCACTAATTTCTACTTCCCTGCTGTCAAATTTCTGGACCTATGGGGGGCCCTTTGGATAGCTTGGCCCTGCCCCTTAAATTGGACACCTGGGGATGGGGCAGCATGAGGCCCAATCCAGGCACACAGAGACCAGCCACACCACTCATCCAGCCCAGAGGAGCAAAAGGTTGAGTGCCACTGGTGTTATATGTGGTACTCTAGTTCCTTGATGCCTGATCCAACTCACTTGGAAATTCCCTCTCTGCATTGGATCAGATGCTTTGCTATAGCAGTCCTCATTAATTTTTGTTGTCAGTGTGTTTTGAGGGGATAGCCAGCATTTTGGATGGTAGCTCCTCATTAGAAAGGCTATACATAAGGACACCGCACCCTTATGGAAACAGAATTTTCTATGCCTCTCTATTAGACAAAAGAGAAAGGCGTAGGAGCTAAGAACTTTAAAAAAGTAAGATGTGTAATTGCCAGTCCTGAGTAGAATGGGAGCTTCCCAGACTTGCAGAGCATTTTTTTGGGGTATTAAATAGCAAGGCATGGCACTGATTGTATAAAAGATTTTCTCTCTCTTGCTTATTTCATCAGTGGATAGAATAAAAAAACCCCTCTAAAAATAGTTTGGCACAATAGGAACTGTAGTCCTGTTCTAAACGACCCCCCCCTTCCCCTCCCCCGATCTGCTAGCTGTAATGACCCTGCAAACACTAAATGGCATTTGAGTGCATTAAGCAGCAAACTCTCTGGTGACATAGCAATTACGGCTCTGAAATAGATTTGGTGCGTCACGGAAGATAAGGGTTTTGAAAGTTTCTGTTGTGATTATAGCTTGTAACTCCAACAAATAACAGGCTTCAAAATAAGAGGCTGCCAACAGAGCCATTGTGGCTTTGCCTCAGTGATGGCACGTAAATTGCTATTAATGTCCTAAGTGTACTTGAATATGCCAGTCTCCAGGCTGCAGAGTTGGCTCAGTGTCTCTCTTTACACGGCCTGTCATTGTCGGGCTGATAATCTGTGGTAATTGCTGCCTCTTGCAGTGGTCAGAAATGTGTAAGAGTGTCTACTGTATCTTCTGGGAAGCAGTAAACAATGTGCTGCTCTGGCTGTGTGCACACGCGTGTGTATTATATGTATACACCACGGCAGCGGGTGTCTGGGTAAAATCTGTTCTTGTGTGTCTGTCTGTAGAGGTATATGCATTGTGTGTATATAATAGGAATACAGTAATCTTTATACAGTCTGCATATGCATGTAGATATGCTTATGCATGTGCAGGTGTGCGTGTATGTGTGCACCCATCCACACCCAGTGTGGCTGTGAGTGTGTAAAATGGTGTGTGTGTGTGTACGTGCGCACATCTCTATGTATAAAGAAGGTAGGTATGGGCATCTCTTATAGGCTGAGTATGAGTATTTAAAATAGAGACTGAGCTTAACAGCCCATTAGGCCAGTGGGGCTTAAGGCAGCCTGAGTTTCTGGAGCCAAAGGTACAGAGGAGTGGGGTGCGGCTAGCAGCACATCTGGCTGCATTGTACAGTCCAAATGACTAGGGTACCCATTTATAGCAGGGGTGGCTGTCAGCTCAAGTTCAGAACCAGACTTGAATTGACACCTCTGGAATTGCATGAGATGCCTTAACTGCTCTGTCGCCTCCTCCCTTGAGTATGTGTGCCTGTATAACTGTCTATCTAGTCTGTCTGAGTGTGGTTGGCCATATCATTTGTATACATACTGTGAATCTATGTACAGCCTGCCTGTGTGTGTGTATATGAGAGAGAGTCCCCCTTCCCCACAAAGGCATTTTCTCATTGCCATGACTAATAGCAGTAACAGAGCTAGTGTGTATTTCACTCTTGTGGAGTCCTGCCCTTCTGGAGGCTTCAGTGAGTAATGCTTGTCCTGCATTTTGTGGCTGTGTGTCCTTTCTTCCCATTGCTGTTATTTCTTGCCAGCCTTGCCATTGGAGGAGTGATTTAGGTTGGTGAAGCATGCCCAGCTTACCCGCCCCTGCCTAGGGCAGCGGTGGTAACAGCATATGGCCCACCTGCAGATGACGTGCGCTTGGTGCTGACATCAGCCACTTTGTAGCACCCTGGCGTATTTCTGGGTTGCAAATGAAACAGTCTTCCAGTACCAGGTTAGGTTAGGCTGTCACAGCCAGTGATGGATTCTGTGCGTCAGCGAAGCACTACAGAGGTAAGGTGCAGAGGAAGAGAGGAGAGAGAGAGAGATGGCTCAGGCATGTCTAAAACAGGACAGCGGCTGCCGCCAAGTCAGGTGCAGGCAGGAGTTTGGAAGGATTAATGAGCATAGCACTGAATCAATGTCAGAGCGAGGTAAGGATTCTGGGTGCAGCATCTGGTCCTCTCCAAAGGGGACAAGCAGCTAAGGAAGAGTGGCAGCAGCCAAGGAGTGGGTAGTAACCTTCCATTCCCCTTCCCTCATACTGTACTTGGAGAGGCCAACCCTATATCCCCTCCCCACTTCAAACAGCCAAAAAAATTTGGCTTTGCTAGAAAAGCACCGCATTTTTATTCACTGCCTCCCATTTGCATCTGCTGACTGTTCAGGCAGATGAGTGCTCCAGCTTGCAGCCTGGGATACGGCTAGGAGAGTGAGAGCCCCATTTGACGCTGCCTCCCTGAACAGCCGGCAGGGCTGTAGGGTAAGTTGCAAGCACAGCATCTCTAGGGCTGCTGACATAAGAAGTAGAAAGATGGGGCTTCCAGAGCCTACTTGGAATTTGTGGTCAAACCCACAGAAAAATAGTTTTGGTTTGCTTTGTCTCCCTTTGTAAAGAGTGCAAATTAGGGGCAGAATCATTGAGAGAGAATAAATCCCAAAGCCCTGGAGGTCACTTATTGAGATTGTAATTGCACTTTAAGATAAACAGCACTGGGAGGTGATTTGTTTGCTCTTTTTATCCTATTTAATAACAACCTGCTGTAAAGGAAAGAAGGGAAGCATGCCCTGGGGTTTGTGGTGGCAATAAGGGAAGCCAGCTAACATCCCAAGTTCTGCAGCAAGTTTGTGTCCCTCTGAGTGGGCAGACTTTGCCTGAAGACATGCTCACAGAAAGCTCAAGGCCAGTTCAGCTGCTGGGGTCCTTTTCCTAGATCTGTTTTTAAATGGGAAGGGATGTACTAAGAACCCTCAGCCTGGCTGCATTCAGAGAGGTTCCCTGGGGAGGCAGTGTTTGAGTTTTTTCCTCCAAGTTTCCATTTGTGCTCTGCCCCCATAGGAGAGGCCAGTACCTAATGTTGAGTGTGTATTCACATTATGACCTGGTAGCCTAGGCAGCGCTTGTAATAGGTGCCAAATAGCTGAGTGTCCTAACTGACTGTAAAAGAAGCAGAAGCAGGGGCAGGGCTCTACTGCTTGGCTGTAGCAGCATGGCCTGGCTCTCACAGAGACCAAATGCTGGTTTCCTGTCTTTGTTCTGTGTTTGCAACTAACAGAACGGATCTAGGAGGGGAGCATCTAGGTGGTACAGTAATATAAATAAATGGTAATAATAGCAGAGCCAAGGCACAAACATCTCACCCAATGCTGGGCGTGAGCTGCGTGTCTAATTTTTAGTACTGTAGACCTGTCCCATATGCTTGGGGTAGAACCGTTTTTTTAATTTTTTAATTCTTACCAAAAAGTTCAAACTGTTTTCAGGTTTGGGCTGCAGGTTTTGGCTTTAATTTTGGGGTGTCCTCTCTCTTGTACGTTAATCTGCATGGGCACAAAATAGGCATGTCTCCTCTAACCAAAATGGTAGCACCTATATAAAGAATTACTGCGGCTCTTGAAAAAGGGACCACACCAGGCAAATTTGCGCAACTTGTGATGAGCAAAGCCAGTGGTGGAATTTGCATTCGTCTGCAAGAAGGCTGCCCCGTGGGGCAGAAGGAACCCTAGGCCTAATCTGCATCTTTAGGTGCATTATGTACCTTCAAAAAATCCTGCCTGGCACCCCTAGCAATGCTTAAGTCGATGGCAACAGTGGTGTGCATGGAGCATGGCAGGAGCCAGCTGAGGATGGGGTGGGTGAGCTCAAGAGGGTGAACATTTATATCTAATGTTTGGTATCATGCAACTGATAAGCTGTCTTTGTTTCCCCCCAGGCTAATGGAGGTTGGCAAGATGCTACTACCCCCTCATCAGTGACCTCCCCCACAGAAGGCCCTGGCAGCGTTCACTCTGATACCTCCAACTGATCTCCCAGCAAATTGCATCCCTGGCTGACCCCAGTCCCCTTCAGGGGCAGGGGTGGGAGGGGAGGGGTTCTCTCCTAATGCTGAAGCAGTCAGACTGGAGGTGGAACCAATCAGCAAACACAATAAGAGTCTCCTTCTCTTCTCTTCGTCGGGATGCTTTTTCAGCCAATCTGGACACTTCTTTATACTCTCTTCCCTTTATTTTCTGGGTAGAAGCCACCCCTCCCCTGCCACCACCACCATCCCCTTCCCAAATCCTCCCACTGAAGGATATTTTCAACAGGTAGAAGAATTTAAAGAGGAAAAAAAATAACAAAACAACAACAACAACAAAAAGTATTTGTACATTTTCACTGGTTTTCCGAGGAGCCAAAATTTACCTCACTCTTTTACTAAAAGGCAACCACCTCCTTCAGTTTCTCTTGTGCTCACACCTACCTCTTAGCAGGAGTATGCCACACATCAGCCCTTCCTTCTGATGCTTCTTCGCCACTCTTCTGTTTCTGGAAATAGTTAGCAGAATGCTTTCCTGTTCCAGAGCCATCCCGAAACCTCGGTGAGTTGCCTCCAAGGGCATTTCCACTTACAGGGTGGATAAATGTTTTCCCAGTGCCGCAGGGCATGTAGGAAAAGGGAGCGAAAGTCTTGTGCTTGATATTCTGCTCACTTTCAAAAGGTACCACGAGGTTGTCTTTACAAACAGATTTAAATATAAAATCCCATCGCTTGCCTCTGCCAGTGTGCTTTGAATCAGACCCCAAACATACGAGGCATCCAACTCGGCAAGTTGGCATGCCATTCATGTGGCTTTATAACAAAAATAACCTTACCTGCCAACATCCTTGGCATCATGGCACTGCTAAGAAGGGAAAAGCAGAAAGAGGTGGCTGAGAGATTATGGGCACCTATAGTGAAAACATTTAGCACTTACATAATGTGTTACATGATCAAAGTGCTGTCCAAATTTTAACTCAAAATTGATGGGGATCCAGCAGGTGTGCACAGCACTTATCATGTCTGTCAGGGATTCTTCTTAGTTTTGAGAGTGATACCCTGAGTTTAAACAACAATGGGAGAGATTGGGTCTTATCTTGGACAGAAGGAAAGGACCCGGCCACCTGCGATGGGGTTAAGTGGGCATTAAGGCATACATTCCACAGTTGCAATGGGATATATATGCAGGCACAGCATACCCCCCTACAAGGGGCTCGTTTAGCACAGTGTGAACGCTCAGGCATCAGTATTCTTTATAATTATGTTAACAAGCAGTGATGACTGGGAATAGGGAGAGAAAGGCTTCTTCTTTCTGCACTTTGGCCCTGTTATCATGAATGATGTTGAGAGGAGAAGATGACACCCCAAAGATAGGTGTGTATGTAGTAAATATATGAAATTAATGGACTGGATGCCATTGGTAGCTTTAAACAGAATGGATCTATTTTGGTCTGGAGCAAAACCCCATAAAATGCATTTGGGTTTTTTTGCTTCTGGAGTTTTTTTTACATTTATATGTTGATATCAGTGTTTTTATCCCTTCATCAACCTGAGATGAGTCATTAAAAGTATTGTAATAAATCATAGGACCTTCCACCCTAGTCAGTTGACCTCCTGGATTTCTGTTGTGTTGCCAGAAACAACATGACTCACAACACCGGTTGCCATTCAGCATTTGGGCAGCCTTCAGGAGGAGGGGCTGCAGAGAGGAGCAGACAGGCTTCCTCCCTGGCAGAAAGGAGGCAGGCTCTGCTACCTGTGTACAAGTACAACAGAGAGGTGTAAAAGCAACACTTAGGTGAAAGAGGTAGGAGAGCAGTTTAGGTAAGTTCTCCAAGTAAGGAGGCAGACAGGCGACTGATGGGTATCACTGAGAGTGCTGCTTGTGTGATGGGGTCAGCTGCATGATTCCTCTCACTTTTAAAGGGAAAACAGCTGTGAAAATAAGCCCCATGTGGGTTTGCTCTACTGGCTCTCGGGAACAGCTCACAAACTTAAGCAAGTGCATGAGTGTTTGCAGGATTAGTCAAGGCCTAAGCCTTAAGAAGCTCAAAGAATATGTGCGCGCGCATGTGTTATGCATATGGATCACATGGGACAAAGTGTAGAACCATTCAGTTGGATCTGTAACCTACCTCTGCTGGTAGTTTTGTCTACCGTTTAACTATTAGAATAAGATTAGTACTGAACAGCTTTAAGTTTCCACCACTGAAAATAAAGCATCTTTCAGAAAAAAATTAAAATTGGCCCTGAAAAAAAACACAAAGTGGCTGGAGGCCTAGGCTTACCGAAGTGGCAAGTCCATGGCTTTGATGGACTATGGCTGTGCAGAGTTGCAATCAGGAACACTCTTCTCTTGAACTGGGTGCAGTGGGGGGGTCTTGACTTTCCAGTGGGACGTGCAATACTTTCTAGCAGCACTAGCACTGGAAGATTCTGTGGCCTCCACTTTCTGAGGTCTCCACTTGGCAAATTGAGAGCTTTTTTTAAATTAAAGGGTTAGTTTAGATGGATTATGAACCTCTAGATTATAAAGTCTATAGCTTTCTAAAATATTGGTGGCTACATTCCCCTGCCAAATCCAAAATATGAGTGATTTTGGTTTCTTTGCATTTTCTTAGCCAGTCTGCCAGCTCTGATGCTATGACACTTAGATCTGTAGAGGGAGAGGGATATTAAAAATGGTCCCAATTAAGAACCCTCATGTGAACTTTTTTATTCACAGTAGAGAGAAGTTAGTCCCAAAAGAAGTCTGGTTGCTTGCAGTTGGCTTATACATGCCAGTGACTAATTACCAGAAGTAGTAAAAGTGCTCACCAGCTAACCCTAAATATACCAAACTTGTCTAGAACATTCCAGATGTAAAGTTTTGGTAACCCCGCCTTGCTACACACAATACAGAGTAGGGCAGTGCATGGTACAGGTTTCTTAGCAGCTGCTTGGGGGGTGACCTGAATATAACACATGACTTTGGTTGGTACAAGTAATATGTCTTTCTGTACTGAAGATGATAAAATATTTAGAGCAGACCACCCAATCATACATTGTATTGGCCTCGGCACTAGATGATTCACATCCACATATACACATTACATGTATGTGTGCACATGTGCATGTGCACACACATACCAGTGTTTGCAAGACTGGGTGAGGGTAGAGTAGGAAAATGGAATAAAGCCCCCTTCTGAATGTGAAATGACAGTCTGATCCTTGGGCCATAGCTGATGCTTTGTGTTCATCTGAGATGAAGCTGAAGTAGGAACATGAAAATGCTAGGAGGGAAGAGGATTTTTACTTCCCAAGGGGACCATCATCTAATGCCACCCCTTTTACCTACAGTACTCTTTTTTTTCTGCCTTCTCCCCACGCTTCAAACTGCACTTCCCCCAATAACCAGTGCCTCGTCCATTATGGCATCCTGACTCTTCATTAGCTATATATAGGCTACATCTTGGTCTATGGCCTTAAAGCACTCAAACCACATGAGTAGTCCTTTGGAAGGCAATGATTCCTGTTGTCATAAAAAGGAGTACTGAAGTGCTTAAAGTTAAGCAGGTGCTTAAGTATTTCTCTGGATCAGAGTTTGTGATCCCAATCCTGAAACTGGCCACACAGAGGTGGACCTCAGTGCCTGCATGGAGCCCCACTGATGTCAAGAGTCTTCCCTGTAGACACTCCCTACACCCCCTAGAACCAGTTGTATTGGGGGCGGGAGTCGCGAAGTTTATCTGACAAGTAGGTGCAATGGTGTGCAATGGTACCTCTTGAAAATGAATAACGTGATGTGAGATTAAAGCTACACAAAGCAGCAGGCACTAGTATCACTCCCTGTTTCACCTGAGAACTGAGCTGGATGCCACCTCCATAGCAGCAGAGACCAGTTCTTGGAGCACCTAGATGGAGCTGCATTTATCCACCCTGCAATTACTTACCTATCTCTTGCTGTCTTCCTCCCCCATTCTCCACGGCATGGTATTGACTCCTTTATGGTACTTAATAAGTCTCATTTTTGGTTTCCTGTTTTGTTCCCTTTACATCTTTTGTTGTTGTTGCTGACTGGTTGGTTGCCTTTTTTCACAGACTTCGCGTTTTTTTTTAGTTTTTCTTTTTTCTGCCCAGAAAAACCTGACTTCGATACCAAAAAAACATAACAAAACAAAATGAAAAAAACAACAAAAAAACAAACAAAAAACTGCAGAAACTCAAAAAAAATAAAAATTAAAAAAAGAACAAAAAAACTCAACGATTCTTTCAGCTTTATTAACATTTTCCATTGTTTCTTGCGATTTGTGTCTCGTTCTTTGTAGTATTGATGATAACGAACATTTGATAATGAATGTTCTTGTATATTCAGATAAAGGAAAAAAAAACCAAAAAAGCAGTCTGAATTTAATAGTGTTTATAATAAAAAAAAAATAAAAAAGACCCTCATAGCACGCAAAATTGAACAGGGAGGAATTTCCTTTCTTGTTCTTTCTGTGGCAAAAAGCGCTTCATTCCTGTATAGTTTATAACACCAAACTACCTACATTCATCACCTTTTTTTCTTTTTTCCCATTTTTTTAATTTTCTTGCATTTGTGAATTAGTTCAAGAATGCTAGAAAAGTGTAGTTGTGCACACTCATTTCCTCTTACACAATGTTTAAAAAGTGACAGTAATTCATTTTGTAAAACTTTAAAAAAATGGTTGGAATAGTGAGCATAATAGGTACATTCTAACACTTTATGTTTATTAACGTTGAGACCCAGAAATTACTCCTTTGTTCGGCGTTTCCTTTTTTTTTCGGGGGCTTTTATGATAATGATGATGATTATTTTTTAAATTGTCCAAGACAATGGCCTTGCAACTTCCCGTTCCTCCACTTTTAGTATGTATTCAGACGTGATGTGAAAAGTTGAATTTGCAAAAATCACTTTTTCATTTATTTTTGTTTTATTTGTGGGACTGATTCTGCTTTTAAGCCAACAAACTATCCCCTAGGAAATTGGAAGGCTGCTCTTCTTACCCTCAGGTTCTAAATGCTGTGGCCTGATGGACCACCTCAGAAAAGGGACAAACACATGCATGATCAAGGCCCAGCTGTAGCCTCAATTCAGCAAAGCCACCCCTATTCAGCAGAGCTAAATGCATGCTTGTGGCCTGCTGAAGTCGATTCAGAATCTAGCTAAAGTTCAGCCTGTGCTAAAGTCTCCATGGGAGTTGGGTACCTAACTTCCTTAGCTTCACTGAAAAAAAATCCAAAGCTAAATGCTTTGCTGAATAGGGACAGACTTAAATACATGTTTGAGTTCCTTCCTGAATCAGGGCTTATCTGAAATTCATATAGGCCATGAAAACTCTTTCTATTACTGGCGGTAAATTCCTCCCTTGAGTTTTGAGCATCATTAAATGTTAAAGATTTCTTTTCATCCTCATGATTGAGCCCAGTGTCTCTCCAAACCAGTATTTTCATAGACACTCCTCACCTTTTCTCTCGTTGAGGCCAATGAAAGACTTCAGTGACTGCAGCAATTTCTGGATACAGAACTAAGACGATTAGTCCAAAATTCTGAGGTTAATAAAGGACTGTTATCATACAATATTGCAGTATCTCAGATCAGTGGATCTTCCCATTCTGATCACTTAGTACAGATGTGCTGCTTCTGCTGTTCCTTATTTTTTGTTTAGTATTAAGTAGCTGTCACTTGATCTACATTTAATTACGACTTCAACCAAAACCTGTTGAAGTCAATGGAAATACTCTTTCACACAATGTATAATTAAATTATCCATTGCTGTAAGTTGTCGGTGAGGCCAAGAACTCAGCAAGAAGAATTGAATGTTCATGTGGATAACAAGGATATCCATATATTCCAAGTCATTAGGCTAAACTGGAGCATTGGAGGGCAGCAAAAACATCATGTTTCTGGTCTCTAACAATTAGGAAACAAGATGGGACTTACATGGGCAACCTCCAAAACTGTCTGTTGTAAGGTTTCATATATCTTCTTGCACTAACCCATCCTGCTGGAGACAGACTTCTGAAGTAGGTAGAGCATGGATTGATGACAGCCCTTCTGAAAGAATTTATCTCCAATAGGCACTGGACCAGGCTCTGGGGCCACACACATTGTCATCAACCCATGAACTGCTCAGGAAGTCTGGAAATAAGTAAGGGTGTCAGAAGAGCTGATCCTAAAAACATGTACACCCTTGTTTAGCTTTCCACCCCTAGGAAGCACCACTGATTTCAATAGTACTCATTCTGTGCATAAATCTAAGTACATACAAAACTGTATCTAGACCCTGAAGCTGTGTTAGGAAGCTACTCATAATTGGAGCAACAAAAGAAAATATAACTGTAAATACCTCTCAAAAATAATACAGTCAAAGGTTCCAGTTCAAGGAAAGATATTTTTCAAAACATTGATTTTGATCACTTTGTTTCTTCTTTTCAAGACCTAAAAATACCCAAAAAACTCTTCACATCACTCTGCTTTAGGTTTCTTTTTTATCTCAAAGCTTCCTGAATTAATTCTGTTTTCATACACCTTTATTATAATTATTATTATTAAAATATAAATCAGACATTGCGGGGTTTTTCTTTCTTTTTTTTTCTTTTTTTGGTTTTCACTTGAAACCCTTTTCTTGTAAAGATATTCCAGTTGTTCTGAGCTACTTTTTCTTTTATCTCTCTCCTCCCCTCTACCCCACCCCTCCCCCTCCAATGGATTCTGAATATAAAAACCTAAAAAGACTCTCTGTTCTGACCTGGTTTTGAAACTTTAAGCTTTTCTGCTTCTGTAAAGAAAAGGCCTATGTCTTTTTGATCCCAACTGAAACTTTTATGTTCTATAATGATACTAACAAGGTGTAGGTTTTACAGTCTCCTGATTTGTACTGGTAATGCATATTCCAAATAAATAGTTTCTTTTGTTGCAAAAAGTATTGTATTTCTTGCAAAAAAAAAAATAGAAAGCTCTCTCCTCTGAACATGCATGCTATTTTATATTTAAAAGCAACAACAACAATAAAATCCCACTAAGAATGGCAGTCTGTAGCTGGAGAGTAAGTAGAAGTGCTGAACCCCTCTACCAGTGCAATGCACCTCAGTCCTGACCAGCAGCTCTCTGACACCATACAGATGGGACTTTCTCATTTGAAAACTCGTTATTTACTAACAGAGCCTCAAAGTCTCCGTCCCTCTGGCAGAACAGTAATGATGGACGTAGTCTTCAGCACACTCAACCCTGGGTCTGTTTGCTCAGTTCCACGGTGACTATGGCCTTCAGCCCCAATTAGCAGCAGGATGTTAATACTTCAAGTACCAAGATCTTACCCAGTCCTGGAGGTCCATACATCTGTTAGTGTACCTTATTATCAAACAGTTTAGTCTAGTAGATAGAGCACAGGACCCAGATGCGCTTCTGACTCTACCACTTGGCAATTGGGTGAGCTTGGGATAATTGCATCCTTCCCTGTTCCTTGGCTTTTCTATCTACAGAATAGGGATACTAATACTTAAGCACTTTTGTAAAGAATTAAGATCAGTCAAAGCCAAGGAGTAGGTGGTGGTGTTACTTGCTGCAGTGGCTGCTCTTTTAACCCTGAGTAGCTACTCCAGATCCTTCTGAATTGTCCTCTCACCTTAGTTCTTCCTCATCTTTGCAGTACCATAAAAGACACATCACTTAGAAAAGCTCCTGAGCTGAATTGGTTGCAATAGCTACACATACTCACAGGTCTCTGGGAAAATGAATTTGAAAGGAAATAAGGTATGAAGGCAGCACTTTTCCAAGGACAACTAATGGCCCATTTTACTCTTTGCCATGACAGATGCTGTTCTCCACCCCCTACAAGATGCCAACAGGTGGTACATATGCACTGATACAGACAGCAGAGATCAAGTGGGTCTGTTAAAGCCCCTACCTCATCGTTCCCAGGCTGGTCATTGTGGGGCAGTTCCATACCATTTATGCTCTGGTTACATGGTCTTGCCTGTCTTTTCATGACCCAAGAAACAGAGAGTTCACTATGTCTTTTAGGAAATGAATGGACCCATTAGCTTTAGGAAACACTGGTGTTCAGCCGAAGTTTTCTTTAGATCAGGGATATCAAGCTCATCCAGCCCTATGGGCCAGATGAGGGGCATGGGACAATCTATGGTCCAGTGGCCAGAGGTAGTCTGGCAGGGTTCCATCTGCAGTGCATGACCCGGACTAGCCCCCTATGTCCTGTGCAGCGCATGTGCTCAGTCCAGCCCCATATGTCACATAGAGTACATGTTGGCCCCATCCCTGTGTGCTACATACAGCATGTGGAATCGGTCTGTTGTGCTGCATGTGCCAGGGCTGGACCCAGCATCATGGGTGCTGTAGATAGCTCAGGGGGCTGATCTGGGGCATTCATGGCATGGATCTCCTGTGCTGGCTCCAGCACACATGGCCAGTCTGTAGGGCCCAGTCCAGAGTGACCCTGGAGTCTGTGCATGAGGCTAGTCTGCTGCAGATGCTACATACAGCATGCACCCTGGATCAGCCCCTTGTGCCACATGTAATGCCTGTAGCTCCTGGTCCAGTCTTGCATGTCACATGCAGCACTCACCAGATCAAGTCCACATGTCACATGCGGTACGCAGGATTGATCCAAGACCCACAGGCCAGCTCTCTGGGCCTCCATGGGCCAGATCTTTGACACCCTTGCTTTAGATCAATTACTTGTAGTGGGTAGTGTCCTGGACAACCCTGGGAATCTCCACTCTCCAACTAAGGATTCAGTTATGTTTTCAGGGCCAGGTTCACTGTCCTGTACTTTGCCTGGCCATTCTTACCTACAGAGAGTTCTGACCCTGGCTCTCTGTGGTTGGCTTTGAATGGTTCCTGTTAAGCCACCCACACATGCATGTTGTGTGCAGCCCTTGGGGAACAGTGCATGCATCAGACTCATTCTGGGCCATCTTTCTGATGATTAACACCTTGTGAGATTGAAGTCACAAGTCAAATCTGAGGCCATCTTGCAAACTGAGGCCAAATCACCTTTCTAAGTGATGGTAAGGAAATATTACCACTTCTTTATATATTCTTATATAATAAAGGGCTTTGTCTGTCTGACTGTCCATAATGCTCTTGGAGCACTCTGATTGGTTAGTGAAACAACCAATCAGAGTGTGGAGCACCGCCATGATGGCAGGGATGGAGGGGACAGAGCCAGCTCCGTCCCCGCCGTCATGGCAGTGCTCTGCCACCTCCAAGGAGCAGGGCCGGTGGGAAGGGCACAAGGGCAGTGGCGCTTGAGGTGATGGCAGCACAGGGTGCTGGTGGAGGGGGATGGAGGGGATGGTGGAGCAAGCTTCCCTGCCCCCCTCCCCAACTCCTGGTAGGTGGCAGCAGTGCGGGGCGGTGGGTGGCGGCACTCCCTCCCTGCCCACCCCCCCTCATTCTTGATGGGCAATTGGCTAGTATATATATATATATAGAGAGAGAGAGAGAGAGAGAGAGCACCCACATATGCAAACACAATTCTATTTTTGTTACAATAAAAAATTTTGGAAAAAATCTGCTTTTTGCAAAATATTCCAGATGGGTTTTTAATAGAATTTAATTGTAAATATTTTAAGAAACTATGACATTATTTTGCTCAACCACACCTGGATTTTGAGGACAGAGTATTTTTTTTTTTAATCACAATTTCAGTAAAGAATCTTGATAAAGTTTTTCTTTACAAAAAACTAAAGTAGCACCAGTGTTTGAAAAGCAGGCCTGCTTTGAACTCTGTAAGATAAACAAGGTCTTAAATTTGAGAAATTTGGCTTTTTTCTTTTGTGTTTCTGTTAGCTCTGCTTTCCAATGATGTGTGGTATAATCTGATTACTATGGGTGTGTCTAGATGTGCATGGACGTTTGGTTCCCCAGGGACAACTAGTAGTGGCACACCTTGTGCTGCAGCTACTTGTTCCTGGGGAATGCCTGTGCCACATGCAGTTTGGTGCCCTGAGTGGGGTAGGGGAGGCTGGGGCCAGCACTGTGCTGGCCCCAGAAACTTTGCCTGGGGCCCTGGGCACTTCCTGGGGCTGCAGCTGTGGCAATACTGCCACACAGACCCTGGCTGGAGGTGGAACGCGGCTTCCTGCAACCCAGCTCCACTTTTCAGCAGCGTGCGCTGCACTGGTTTTTTTTCTATGGAATATCCAGAGGTCAAAAAAACCATGGGACAAAAATCTGGTGCAGCGCATGCCCGAGCAGCATGCCCTTGCAGTGTGGAGAACGCTGGACTGTGCGGTATGTAGCACTGCAAATGTGTTCGTAACACCACATACCTTGTGACCATGCTCTTCTGGATACACCCTATGAGTCTAGAGGGAGCTTACACCTCATTTTTGTACATACTCAAAGCCCCCTAAAGGGGGGGGGCCAAGGGCCTTAAATGGCTTTGAAATGATCAGTCCTCAAATCTCCAAATCACAGCAGATGTCAAAAATGGCTTGTGCTAGTGGACAATCAATATGTGAAAATCCTAACAAATGACTGAAATACAGCATCCTTACAGAACATCCAGAAGCTCCAAAGCACAGAAGAAAGAGATAGACCAAGTGACTTCATGTTCAAGTTCCTGAGGTTTGAGAGAAATGAGACCTCCAAAAAGCTTTGGACAAGACAGAAGCACCTCCCCAAAATCCAAGTGTTTTCTTAACTGAGTTTCCCTATCCCATCACAGTTAAATCTTCAGACAGTGCAACCGCTGTCCTGTGGAGGGGTTAAAAGTCTACAAAGCACTTGGGAGACCTTAGCATGGGATTTGGTAGGGAACTGCAAATGTCATTATTGAAATGATGTTCAGTAAAGTCCCCTCTCTGCAAGCTGCATGTCACTGCTATCTCAATGCGAGCAAACCCAGAGCACCCTGTTACTGATGGGACTTTCAAGGTAGTAAGTACACACAGATCCATTGCAAAGCAGATATGTTTTCTCGGTGCCAAGCAGCAGCCAGTCAGGTGGGGACATGGGGTTCTGTATTTTCACTGCCTTTCTCCCCAGAGCTGTGTGCTGACATTTGTTATGAGCCTGTTCAGCCTTGAAACAGAGATTCTGTCCTTTCCGCTGAATTGTTCCAAATTCTCAGCTACTCTCTTCTTTCTGCAGTCCCACGGTGAGCAGTTGACATTTGCTACCGGCACAGGAACATCATTTGCCAAGTGCAAAAAAAATCCATCCCTTGGAGCAACGAGCATTTGTGTTGGACCTTTCAAGCCTTTTATTTTCCAGTGCAACAGACAGACAGACATACACACTCTCTCTCTCTCTCTCTCTCTCTCTCTCTCTCTCTCTCTCCAGATGAATAGCTGTATTTATCTTTTTCCCAAAAATATCAAGACAGTGGTGGTTAGCCATGTTAGTCTGAAGTCAGTCAGGCAAAAGACAGGGCAGGGTGGTGTCTTAGACTAACTGGTTCAGAGTGGCATGACCTTCGTAGACAATGTTCAACTTTGCCAGGTGCTATGACAAAGTAGGTTCTCACCCGTGAAAGCTCATGCCTTTCTGAACCAATTAGGTAGTCTCTAAGGTGCCATTCTGCCCTACCTTCTGCCAAAAGTATCTGGAGATGTGCGGGGTTGGGGGATAGCTCTAGGGAGGCAGTGGAGTTTGTATTCAGGCTTGAGCTCTAGAGGTAGAGAGCAGGCAGTGATGTGAGCAGAGTAATAGGTTTCAGAGCCTCTTTTGCCAGCATTAATGAAATGAACATCAAATCCTGGCATCTATAGGAACCTCAAAAGCAGCGGTAAATTTGAAGATCAAAGAAAACCTTGAAGGACAAAAGAAGGCAAGTGGAATGTGCTTGGTGCTCATTAGGCAATTCATAATTGTCTCACCATTAGCCTGTGACTTCTTTCCCCAGCCTCTTCTGTTTCTCTCCACCTGTTGCCTCTCATCTCCTTAGAGTGCAAGATC